TGACAATGTCATTCTACCGTTTTAACTCTATGAGTCATACTAGTACTACTAATGTTCTTTAGGTTTTCTACTTCCACAGTTGGCATGCTACAATTTTAATGAGAACTAGAAATAAACTGTTCGATAAAAACCCTCTGATCATTCAAACAGATAGAATATTTCATGTGAACACTTTGGTAAACGCAGTGAATCGTGCAATAATTATATGTAATGATTAAATACACGAATCAAATTAAGTTGTTTTGATTCATTGTACATTGGTCACTTATACAGGGTCCTTGTATTAAGAGTCACTTAAGGGGCCTGCCTAACGCGAGACTCCTAGTAATCATTGCTTTGACTATTAAAATTGGATAATAGCACAGCAGTGGATCACCATTTGGTTTGTAACAAAGTGAACTTGGTGCTGTCTGATGTTTCTAGAAACAGAAAAAATAGTACAATAGTGCACCATTCTCGCGAAATATGACATAGCAATTGGTGATGTATGGGTGCATGTTTGACACAGAAGATAACGGTGAAATTTTCTGGTTTTAACTCAGAGTTTAGTAATGTCTGGTGTCTCTTTCGTACAACAGTGGCCATCCAAGGGTCAGGTGACTTTCTATTGCAACCAACAGTGAATCACTCTCCGTTATATACATGTAATATGTTTGGAACCAATAAGAGTTCATGAAGCAGAAAGTGCAATTTTATAGGAAATAAGAAGTCTGTATGAGTCTAGGGATATCGAGTAAATGATCTATAACCGGAATATTGATTTCTACATAGAAGACCGTTTAAACGGGACTAAAGATTACTATCACCTTGATTACCCAGTAAAATATCAATAATTGCTCGTCTCAGGTTAACTTTTCACAGAATCAAACTGGCTGAAAGTCTGATTTCAAATAAAAGGAATTGTTAAGTCTCCAACTTTCTGCCAATAGGTTAATTGTGTTATATACTACTATTATGTCAACTTTTTCTCAATCATCCTTAACTTGTAGTGTCCAAATAATGAATACTGACCTAGCGAACTGAGGGAGATAATTATTGGTTTCTTTAATATTTTATTGACTTGAATGATTTATGTTACATTTTATAACAAACAGAAAAAATTACAATGGGGGGGGATTGAGGGGTCGTAGGAAGGTGGCAATCACCATTCTTAGATAACATGATCAATTTCACCATGTCTGAATGCAAATTCTGATATTGTCCTACAAAGCTTTTACATCATAAAGATAGATGTGAATAACTTCCTTAGCTGCGACCAATGTTTCTGCCAAATTGTTGTTTTGGATTTTGGGTTTCGTTTTGCGGTTCGGATAGTTAATACTTGGTTTATGTTCCTTTAGCAACAGTATATGACCTTTATCACACCTAACATCTGAAGGGATAAACGGTCGTATAATGTCGCCATAGGAACGTGAAAGGTTGATGGCAATATACAGTGTACGCAGACTCGTGTGTTCATGAAAGCATTACGTTAACCATGTCGGTCTGAAATGGGCTCTTGTTTGTTTTGGCAAAAGTGTTTTTTCGTCTTCACAAGTCCAACCAAAAGCAAAGAAATAGGACGCAAAACTCATTTTCATTTCAGTTCCGTTGATGCCAGAACACAATTTCCAGGTGCAGGTCTTTCTAAAAATCGTACTGCAACATCAGATCGACTGTGCTCTCATAACCTAGTTATAGGCAGTCAGTAAAGAGTTGAGAGTGTTACGTTTACTTTTCTTACCCTTTAAAGACACATAACGACGGGACAACTACTAATAATGTATACAAAACAATATATTTTCTAAGAATGGCTGAAGTTTTATTCCAGAACAAAATCTATCATGAAAGAAAGAAAATGACAATGAACACGAATCATGAATAATATCACATGTTAAAATAAAAGAAATAGAAAAACTTGAGAGAAAAGGGATTAAATCTGTTGCTATTTGCTGCTTCTGTACCAGATTTCACTTGGAACACAAATTTTGAAATAAAACAAAAATAATTCGAATATAAAAATGTACATTTTGCAAATGATATAAAATGCATGGAGTTTTACATCCCACTTTTTCTGCACCTTATTGGGCTACATAGTTCATTTTGCTCAATATAAGAAACACCAGACTTCTAATGAACACAAGAATTGGTGCCAAGTGACAATCGCAGTCACAGAGTGGTGCCAGGTGTTAAGACGGGTAAGCATACCCCATCTGGGTATTGGTCAGTAATACCAGCAACATTGGCCACACCAGCCACAAAATATAAAACAAATGAAATATGCAGGGTAACAATGAAAATGAAGACAGGTGGTTGTGGGTGTAAAAGATCATATGAAAATAACTTACTAAATAATGAAATTCAAAAACTCATGAATCATGCAAGGATCATTTGTTGTGGAATAAAATCATTAAGGACTTTCAGCACAATGTTCAACACATATTAAATATGAAAAAATAATTCAAAATATGAAAATTTCTTCTTTTGAACACAAATCAGATACTAGGTTTAAAATATATTGTAAGTCTTTTAGGAGGATAACAACCACAAAATATAAAGAACCAATTTTTGTGCCAGATCAGGTAAAAAAATTGGTCAGTAGACTTTTTTTTTCAAATATCTACTTAAATATCTGTGAACCTAGAAACATTAGTTGCTAAAGATCACTATGGATTTCAAATCATGGCTAACATACTGTCTAATTTGTGCACCTTGACAAAAGATTGGTCAGCACATATCACAAATCTGTTTTTTTCTTATCAAAAAGCAGGTGAAAATATTTCAAGTAGCATTGGCCTTTTGTGTACCTTACAACTTTTGACATCATTGGCATTGACTGTTATATATGAAAGTAGTATGGACTGATAAGCCCTACATTGTGCTGAAGGTCCCTCGAACACAAAAAGAAACTTGTGTACATGTAGTTTGTAATATTAATAAAATAATGTTTACTATTTACATTGTATGTTCACACGAAATATAAACAAGTTTTTCTGTAAATAAAACACATTTTTAAAATTTTGTGACCACAAAAAATTAAAAATACTCAATAATAATATTTATCCATGTGTAAAAAATTCTCAACTTCATCCGAATTGATGAAGATAATGTATATTTGGTACATTGTTTCTATATATTTGTTCACAAAATTTAATACACACATAAAAATGTAGTTCAGCTCTAAACATAAATGTTTAGCCGTCCTCTTAAAATAGCACAATACATTTTCTCCTGGTGAAATTTGACTCGAAGTTTTAGGTCACTATTCTATCTATATATACTCCGCTTGTTTGAATACTTGTTTCACAAACATCTTATATCCTTACTTCAACAATAAGTTAATATTTCAACTTTCACTCAATTTTTAGTCTTGCTTTCTCTTATTTTTGTAGATAATTAGGGAACATTATGTTTGTTCTAGAATAATTTACCTTTGTTCACTAAACTTGTTGTTTTTGTCTCTAATTTTTACCAAGAGTTCAGGAAAATGCTATAATTTCACACAATTTTAGTTTTTATCCTCAATTCTTATTTTTTTTAGTCTGTTAAGTTATGACTATGCACCATATGATTTTCTCACAAAAAATCTGATAGTTCTTACTTCTAGTTTCAATATTTTCCTTCAAAATTATCAATAATCCAAAATATTATTCAAAAGATATCCCTGATTTATATTTGAAAATCACAAAAAGCACAAATTTATGTTATTGAGTTTTTAAGACTGAAAAAACTAATAACACAAGCACAAACAATTATGGAAAACTGTTTTTTTTTTTTTATGGCATGGCTTTCCACAACCTTAGTTTTGCAATTCGCTCGAAAGCATTAAAATAACTTCTAACAACTCATGTTGAAATCATCAACAAAGGGTCAAAATTGAAAATTGATGTAGCACTTAAAACTGTAGATAAATCAATAACCAAATCAATTCAGTTCAAAATAGCCTCAACCCTGATCCAATCAATAAACATGACTTTTTCTGAATTCCCAGACAACAATTTGAACAAATGTGTTAAAAACAAGGCTATTTGTTATATTTGTTCAACACAATTAGACATTTAAATTTCAAGATATAAACCAAAGTGATCTTTTGTTTTTATACAGAATTCTGACCTTTGAATATTTCATATGATCATAATTTGGAAAAATAGCAAATTTATGAGCTTTGAAACATATTTGTCTGTTCTAAAGATGAATTTCATACTTTTTTAATAAATTAAAATAGGCAACTCAAAATATAAAAAAAAATATGTGTTTGGGCTTCTTGTCTACAAACTATCATTAATTTTCAAAAAAAATTGCAGTCAGGATTTTGGTATCTAATTTTTGATTTTGATCAAATAATTGTGTTTCTTGGCAATATTGCATTTTTTTCTTTTTTAACACATTGTCTGGACTTTAGACTAGAGTAGCTATTTTAAGCTTTCGAAGAGCGAAATGCAGCCATCATATTTCTACAGGAGCAGTATCAATCACTCAAGAATCCAGTCTGGTTAACAGATTCCTAATTATGATTCCAGATTTTCAAAGAAATATTATCTTTCTCATGACGTTCTTGCTACTAATTGAAGCACCATTCACAGACTATACATCATAAGTCCATTTACCCTAGCACAGTTAAAATATGGCAGAATATCTTTCATAGTTTATCACCATTCTCGCCACATTATTTTACCAAAAATATATTATGATTTACCAACAATTAAGGATATTTCTAGACTGAATCCTAGTTCAAGAATTTCAACCACATAAACTCCTGGATTCAAATTCTTATAAATTTTCAGAAATTCAGACTTTAGTTCCAGTAAAAACCCAGCAGATCTAGTCTAGGAGAGAAGTCCAGGGAAACCAGATCCCAAATCTTAAAAATATCCAATAGTTTAAAGCTAGTACACATGGACGACCAGTCTCTATCCTCTCACAACATTGTATTACATTGTATCTGAGAGGGGGGCGCTGTTATCCTCATAGTGGTTTCAGTTTAAGTTACGCCATCAACTAAGCACAATTTGATGTTGAGTTCAAACCACAGATTCGTTTGCTTTCGGAGAAAAGATCCGTCCGTAAAAATTTCTCCAGGACATGAAAGTTTTACCCGTCCAAATCCAGACACCTGAAGTGATGCCCACTATGACTGTCATGAGGTATTTGATCATAAAAACATTAAAGTCTGGCCATGGCTTAGAGGTTAAGTTTTGAGGACACGGTCTGTGGTATCCCTCACAAGTGGTGGCCCACCATGTCACCATCCACTTTTCTCTGAAAGATTGTTCGTAAAAATAGCAAGCGATCACGATAGTTGCTGGGACAGTGTATAATACAGAAAAAATTCCTATACGCACCATCAGTTTTTCAAGTTTATCAGTTTTTGTGCCGTCACTTTTCATAATTGTTCGAATACGGAACAGTGACACAAATCCTGCGAGTAAGAATGAGGTTCCAATGATCAGATAGACTACAAGAGGAGCCAACACAAACCCACGTAAAGCATCCACATCAAATATTCCTGTAAAACAGACACCACTCAGAACATCTCCATCAACTTTTCCCATTGCTAAAATAGCAATAGTTTTAATAGCAGGAACAGCCCAGGCAGCCAAATGGAAATATTGTGAGTTGGCCTCAATGGCTTCATGACCCCATTTCATTCCAGCTGCCAAAAACCAAGTGAGGGTGAGAATAACCCACCAAATTGAACTGGCCATACTGAAGAAGTACAACATCATAAACAATATTGTACAGCCTTCCTTCTTTGTGCCTTGGGTTATGATAGATACCATTTTCTCCTTAGGAACAGGAACTTTGGTGTCTGTGGGGGGATCGAAGGGGTCCATGCAAGCAACTTCTTCCCTAAGAGCAAATCCCACAACATAAGCCATAGCTACCATAAAATAGCAACCAGACAGGAAGATGATTGGACGTTCTGGATACCGGAATCTCTGCATGTCGATCAAGAATGTTAGCACTGTAAACAGGGTTGATGCCAGACAAATACAGGACCAAACTCCAATCCACCATCGAGCAAATTCTCGCTTCTCAGATTTGAAAAATGTATTATAGCAAGGAGAACCACAATCTGTTTCAAGATGATCTCCAATTTTAATGCTGTAATCAAAGCCTCGTGGAACCCTCAATTCATCTGGACAGTTAAAGCTTCTGGTTCTATTTTTACCAGGGTAGGGTTTGTAGGTAACGGGTGGGTTGGTAGATCCAAACCCTGGTTTGCCAGTATAAGGTGGGCGTATATCAGGTCCAGTAGGTGGCCTCTGGGATGTTGGCTCTGTGATATTTTCACCAACACATAATCCTGACACTGGAAGTTTTTCACACTTTAAACTTTCAGGCCATTCAAAACCAAATTTGTTCATTAAACTTTCACAACCATCTCTTGCCTGATTGCACAAGGGTCTGCAAGGCGGAATAGCATCTTCCAAAACAGTACAAACTGGAACATACATGGTGCACAGGAAAAATTTCAATTTGGTTGAACACTGCACTTTAACCAATGGAAAAAATTGATGCACTTCTAAACCAGCATCGTCTTGTTTCTGATGGTTCAGAATATTTGGCATAATGGTTTCATTATATTGAATGTCTTTACACAAGGGAATGGTAATTGGCTCACATTTTCCATGCGGTTCCAATTCTTGATCAGTTATCTTTGTGTGTACCGTGCTACTCCATACTCGACCTGAATTTTCAATTCCCAGTAACAAAGCCACAAACGTTAATAAAGTCACTCTCGTATACATCTTTCCATTCGCCATTTTGAATCCAAAATACAGCTAAACGAAGTCCAAACTAATCACCAATAATAAGAAGACAAAATCTCAATCAGTTCTCCAGCATGGCGGCTAAAATCCTTCGTTTTTTATCAACCGTATAATCCACAACTATCCGACATATTCATATGGCCGTCTTTGTGAGGCACTTTCAAACAGACAAATACAATTCAACTGTTTCTAGTTACCCCAAAATTCCATCTGCGCAATATTCTATACACGACCACAGAGAGATAGAGGGGTATAGAGAAACTTCGTGTCATCAAATAACCAATCAGATTTCAATGGTATCAATTACCTTTACGTTCATTGGCTGAAATATTTAATGGCTGTTCCGTTGTCCTCCTGCGTACAATAATTAACTCAATGCCAGACACTAGGCCACGAATGACCATAAGTTTGCTTGACTAACGGCGCATAAATTGTAATGATATTGAGTTCAGCATGCCATTGCACGATGATAACCTGTCATAAATTCCGCCCTGGTTTATTATGACTCCATGTGTTGAGAAAATAAAGGTAAACATAGCGAATTATTCCGCAAATCGTAGGCCGAATGCATTCGTAGTTTACCATACATGTAATATACATTTACTGATACTGTTCAACAGCAATACAAAAGGTACATGTCTATAATGACTGGTTCTACCCTCCTGAGGAAAAACAGTGGGTGACTACTATTGCACAAGTTCACTTTCATGCAGTGCAATTTTTTGATTCTGCATTTTCGATAATTATTATGCTATAAAGCCGAGAGGCCTATGTGTTATACTTCTTAAGATTACTAATAACATTTTATTCGTGGTATCAATTTGCAATCATATCCTAAAAATTTAACAAAGAACACCGTGCAAAATAGAAATTGAGAATAAATTGGCAATGAATGGCCAGTTTTTTGGGGATAGACTTGGTTATTTGCTATTTATAAAGATAACATAGGAAAACTGTCACGTGTTATGATTAGTTTTTAATCGAGTAAGGTGTCAGGGTTGACAGCCCCCTATAATAGCTTCTTATTGTTACTACTGCGCTATCTGATAATAGAGTAGAAACTCAGTCTAAAGTCGACTCAACGTCTCCCTATCTCAATGTTGACACCGAGTTGATTAAAAAACACAGGTGTGGCCATTTTCTTTATAATATTTCCCCCTCGCCCCCGGTCATGTTCACCTGAAAAATTTAGATAGTGATATTTGATAGATAGGCTATATAATATGCTTGTATATTTTTATATCACAATTTAAATTGAAATATATATCCCTTGTCAATTATTTGATTGTACGTGTAGGCCTACATGTGGCGCTAAAATAGAACCTTGGAAAGCAGAATAATGTGTGGGATTCCAGGACTATAATCTGTAAAAGGTCTCTTAGTGCCTGACCACTAAAGACACAGGTTGGTTAAGGTTGATCTTGCACATGCAGGATCTGTGAGCAACTGTATTATTAACGACTGCCAGCAACTGAAAGCATCTAATGAGTTGCTGGAATTTAAAACTCTTAGTCAACAATACTGTATGGTAATAGGTGTATCAAACTAACTTGTAGCCTAACGCAAAGTTATGTAACACTTACTGGGTCAAAGTTAGCATAAAATTATATAGTATTACATTTAGGCGTGGTATACATGTGTCATAATATCTCATGTCTTGAACACTTGGTGTCACTCTGTGACATAACTAAGCGTGTGTGACAGCGTGACATGACATAACATGACACAATCGAGATGTCGTGGCCAGTATTTGTTGACGTGAAAGACTCTATAATACTGTATAATAATCTCTTATAAAACATTGAAAATCTGTCTAAGGAATTTATCCTATATACTTCGAGCACCTGTTTCTATTAGATCCAAACTAATATATACAACCTCAAGAAGTAGGTTTGTGAAAAAAGATTTCATTGATTCACACGTCTCGAAATTGATTTTGATTATATGTTAGACTTGTCCGAATACAACTTATTATGCGAAGGCAACGTGTACGCAAAATTATTTTCTTTTTGTTATGAATTACCTCCCTTTTCAACATGTAAATTTTCACATCATAAGATCAAAGAGTTGTTACTAAAAGTTGACGGATGCAATATGATTAAAATGTCATTTTTCCATTTTCCCTCTTATTCTCTCGTTTATGCAGTTACCAAACTTATATAAAGGGACTGTGTTCAAAGCCGGCACTATATGATTGTGTTTTATTTATGAAAGCCACATACATGTACATGTATTAGTAGTGGTTGGTTGGACTCCAAAGGATGAGCGTGGACGATGTGAAAGTCCATTAAAGTGAATTGCTTTTATTTCGACTTTCCGTAGGCCTACACGTTGAATAATTCTTTCTATCTAAAATATAGGCTCAGTGAATAAGTATTGACATGCGAGGCCTCCGAAGATGGAACATACACGTGCGCATCTAGCCGTACACGTTGTCAAAGTACACCAAGTGACAAGTTATAGATCTGATTATTATGAGGCAATAGACTATTCAGACTGTGACACGGTAGCTGAAAGAGAGTATTTAATAACTGGGTATTAATAAGATTGTGAACCCTACCCAATGACCCCGTTTATTATTCCTTTCTCGACCTAACAAATTATATTACTTTCTGTTTATTAAATATTCATAAAACCCAACTAGCAGACCGTCTTACTATACAATATAATCCTTTCAACTCTTTAAAATACCTAAATACATTTACTATCACGCACTAGAATATAGAATTTATCTGTACTAAGGTGTACGCCTAATAGAAAGATTCTGGATGAAAGCTCTGATTGTGTCTGATCGGTTGAGTCTCGCCGTTGACAAATCATAGGCTACTCTCATCGCAGTTTGGGATGGGGTGTTGGATTAGTGTGGGAGCTTGCTTTGTTAGAGAAGCATTTAGAGGGAGTTTTCCTGCTTACCCTTCTTTGGTTGACAGACTTTTGAGACCTACAGAAAGCAAATTTGTTTTCACGGCGAGGCGTTTTCACTTGTAGGCCACCAAAATCTGACATTTTTAAAAATGGGGGAACAAAATTTTATTTCCAAATTAAGCATTGATCATCGATTTTGTTATGAGAATGAGTAGACCTGTGATTTTTACCCCAGGAAAAGAAATCAAAACAGGAAAAATCATTAAGCGTTTGTTGACATATTAATCTTTATCAAGATTTTAATAATATTCTGTCAAATAAACCGACAATAAAACAATCAAGATAGATAATAAACTGATATATCTGAAGCGTGTCACCATGACGCTCATTTGCATAACGTTTAGATGGATCCATTAATTAAACTTCCTCCCTCCGACTGCGATAAATTGTCCACAGTGTCAGAATGTTATCGGTTTTTATGACATGGAAGGATATTGTATTGAAATAGATAAATACTGATAGTATATTATAAGGTGTAAGTACCCGAGGGCCTGCACTAAGGCTAGGAAGACGTGGGAGAAGGTGGGTACTGACTCTCAAAAGCGTTGGTCGTGGTTCACAAATTTTCACATTGGCTGAACCTTGGATAATTTCGATTCTAGTGCAAATCTGATGGGATAGGTCTAGTTGTATTCATAAGAAAATAGTAATTCATATTGAATGATGCAAATATTCAAATAAACTTTCTGCAAATGCAGTATATACCTGTGACATTTCACAATAACTTTATGTTTTGGGTATACTACAATTATTACTCTTACCTTTAACCCCGGGCTCAGGACTGTCGGCCTATGTAACAATGATATAATATCTATTCGCTTTATATTTCATCTGCATTTTATCTTTCTACATATCTACCTCTCTTCATGCCTAACTGTAATGAAAACAATCTTTGTGTCGGGACGATGACATGGTGTTCCATCAATTTATCGATAAGATTGTATCAGACAAATGGAATGGATATGTTTTATATTGGAGGCGGCAGTAGGGCGGAGAAACAGAGGAGGGGAGGCGGTAGATTGTCAAGCTTACCGAAATCTCTCAGTAACTATCTTCGAATGGGTTTCATGACTGTAGATTTAGTACAACACGTTTTTACAGCAAAGACGGACTTTCGTCATTAGAAGCAGTGTTGACATTTAGCTCTCCAACATCTGTCAATACCATAAGAATCCACAATTTCAATAGGTGTAGATGTAGGCTCTATAACCTAAGTAGTTAATCTGACCCGGGACAGTTAAAATTCCGATGTCAATAAATGCCTATAATATTGGGGCCATAAAGTTTATTATGACCATAATTATGTTGTTTATATAGACTTAAATCACAAACAACCTGGGAATGGGAAACTCATTTCGCATCGCCAACGATATGCTTAGTGGGAATTCTCATAAAACGTATTCTGTAACCGCTCAGAACTTACTAACATAAACCATTATTAAGATGTTTTCTCTGTCGAGCAAAGCACATGTAAATACGATATTGTAGAAAATATGAAAAAAAAAAAACAAGTGAAGATTCGAAATGATATCGTAAATAATATACATAACAGAAGTAAATATGATATGATATCGCAGAGAATATATTTAACAGAAGTAGATATCCTACGTAGAGAATATATATTACAGAAGAAGATCTAGGATACGACATAGTAGAGAATATGAATAATAGAAATAGATACCATACAATATCATAGAGAATAGAGATAACAGAAGTAAATATATGATATCGCAGAGAATATACTTAACAGAAGTAAATATGATACAATATCGCAGAGAATATAAATAACAGAAGTAAATATGATACGATATCATAGGGAATATAAATATTAGATATAGATTCAATACAATATCATAGAGAATAGAGATAACAGACGTAGATGATAAGATATCGCAGAGAATTTAAAAAAACAGAAGTAGATTGAATACGATATCGTAGAGAATGTACATAACAGATGTGGATTGAGTACGATTTCGTGGGACAAAAAAATGTAAATTCATTTCAATATCACAGATTATAGAAAAAATAAAATTGAGCTTATTACAAAAATTAAC